GACTCGATGGTTAAGCCCCGAGAGTATTGCATATAGATAAAGGAGTGTGGAGAGATAAGGGAGAGAAAAAGGAAAATCACGAGAAGATGAAGTGGTCTGCACTGGTTCAGTGCCTCCTAAAAGTGCCTGCGATCGAGGTGGCTCCCCTGGGACTGGCGGGCTACTAGGATTACTGGATATACCGGGGCCATTGAGCCACCACTGATCTGAGTATGGGGAGTCTATATCATTCTTAGCAATTTTACATTTGAAATTGGTTGAGAAATATGGGCATACCCGCCTGGTCGGCCTCCTCGTCGACCCAAGTGAAATACTCGAGCATATCTTCTTCTTGCTGTTGACTTTGGTTCCCATGTTTGATCATGTCTTCACTGGCAACTTCGTATTCCGTGTTTAATTTCTCCTCGATGGTCCGCGCTCGTCTGGCTAACTCTCTATTGCTGAGTCGGCCCCTGTCTAGCTCATCCTGTTTCCATCGGCCGAGGAGACTGGTCTCCCGAACCCCATGAATACAAGGAATTGGTAGTTCTGTCAAGTTAGCTAGTTTTTGAGCGTTCTCTATGAAGAAGCGGTAGTTGAAGCATTCTTGAGAGAAGGGTGTAGCGGGTCGGAGAAGGGATGAGGGCAGTTGTAAAAATGGGACAGACGGATATGGATTCAGCTCTAGTATGCTAATAGGATTAGGTAACAGCGATGAAGGGGCAGGCCGTGTCGCGCTGTGAGGCTGATTGGGACGGACATTGCCCGCTGTAGGAGGGGGAGGAGCAGTTGCAGCAATAATAGAGGCAAGAGATGACTCTGATCCTTTGTTTCTGGTACTAGTGCGATCCTTAATAGCCTTTTTGAAGACCCGAACACGCTCAGCGTCCTGAAACATGAGTCAGACGCTGTTCAGTTGCGGGCGTATTTTCACAACAGTCAAAGTGTCTTAAAAATTTGAAAGCATACCTGGAACCATTCTGGACGGTTTTCCTCCCAACCCAGGCATTCAATCTCTAGACGGACGCAACTTTGACAGTTATTTTCAGAGTTGCGACGCTCATCACACTTTTTGCGACCTAGAAGATGGGTGTAGAAGGTTAAGATGAAGTTTGACAAGCCGACAAACAATACGCAACGTATTCGACACGTCCAACAGCCCCGTCGGCTTCGACCCCTGGGTGGTCCCTCGTTTGGCACCCGAACTCGGCGGGACCTTGTCGTTATACCGGACATGCGATAATTCGGGGCCAGAGAGGGATTTGGCATGATTTTTAGACACCCGCGCCTTAAGCTATATATCTGGCCTTTTGTGCTAAATCGGACG